GGTCCCCTTCTCCTCTCCCATCCTGTCCCCATTCTCTGCAGCACTCACAGGCCCTGCTGCCTCCTCCTGTCACCCTGGGGCCACATTGCCCAGCCCTTGTGGCACAGGAGGAGCTGTGCTACCCCAGTGTCCCCTTCCAATGGGATCCCCCAGCAGGGACGTGACCAGGAGTTCCCTCCTGGCTGGCTGTAAACATCCCCAGCATGACCCTGGCCACCAAACTGGGCTGTGGGAGCTGTGCTGGGAAGCCAGGACAAGCCTGGCAGTGCCTGAATTGTCAGTGCTTTGGGTGCATCTGGCAGCCAGGAAAGCAACGGGGTGGTGGGGTCCAGGTAGGGAGTGAAAAGCACACGCAGGGGGTCCCACAGCATTTTCCTCCTTCTTAAGAAAGAGGCATGCCCGACGCCGGAGGTGCTGGAGGTGAGCGAGGGCCATGCCCAGGAGGATTATTGCTCCCTGGGCGGCTGTGCCGAGCCTGAGGGGAACCCCCAGCTCTGCCTGGCCACCAGCTCCTGCCCCTACGAGCCCCCCGCCGGCGAGCCCCAGCTCCAGGAGAAGCTCCAGCAGCTGCAGCTGGGCAGGAGCCCGGTCCCCAAGGGTGGCACGGCGCCCCCAGACCCCTCCTGCCTGCTGACACCACCCACCACCCCCCTGAACTTCGACTCTGTGAGCCCGGAGTCCCCGCAGGGCACCGGCAAAGGGCTGCAGGACGCCCGGAGGAACGGGATGAACGGCACCAAAGGCAGCACCCCCGAAGGTACCGAGAGCTGGCGCTGCCCCGGGGCTGTGGGGCTGGGCTGGGGTGGTGCCAGAGCCGTAAGCTGCTCTCTGCTCTGCCAGGCTGCTCGCCGACCCCCTATGACTACCCCACGCCGGAGTCTTCCAGCCGCAGCTCTGCCACCGACGACTTCTGCTACGTCTTCGTGGTGGAGCTGGAGAGGGGCCCCATCGGGCTGGGGATGGGGCTGATCGACGGCGTGGTGAGTTATCAGCTGGTGCTCTCACACAGCTGGAGTGGGATGTGGGATGTGGTTTGTACCCAAGAAAAGCTGATGGCGTCCCACGGGAGCTAGGTTGCTTCTCCTGGGGACAAGGAGGCACAGAGGGATCTCTCAGTGGATGTCTACTCGTAGGTCACTGTGCTGTGTATGCAAAGTCCACAGCTGTCCTGCAGCTGGGGAGAGCAAACAGGCTCAGCTCTCTTGTGGAAAGAAAATGACTCAGCCGAGGTCTTTCCTCCACCCTTCAGCGGTGGCAGGAGAAACAGAGAGGACCAGGGAGGCTCACAGGGTGTCAAAACAGCTCCTCCTTTGCATAAGGAGGAATCTGGCATTGTGGGGTTGGTCATCCTTTTAAATGGCCTTTCACAGCTGTGCTGTTGGTCAGTAGGAAACACAGCATCACCAAGCCCTGGCACAGTGTGAGCAGAGCTCCCATCCCGGAGCTGCTATGGGATGGGAGCTCTGCTCAACACGGCCGCAGGCTAATGATGCTTTGCTCTTAATTAAATTGAACAAGAGCAGGTTGCCCCCACCTCTCCTTTCTGTGTATAAATTGATATAAAATCAAAGGATCATATTTCCTTCCTGTTACTGTTAGCACCATCCCCATCACGTTCCCTCGCATCTCCAAGGTCCCACTTGCCATCAGGCTTGGTTGTGAGCCCAGGGGGAGAGTTACCCTGCCTGGGGAGCTAGGCCTTTTGGGACCACAAATCTTTGTGTCCCTTTTTTTTGCTCACTGCCTTCCCCTGCCAACAGCACACCCCTCTCTGCTCCCCGGGGATCTACATCCGCACCCTGATCGAGGACAGCCCCGCGGCTGCCGACGGCAGGCTCTCCATCGGGGACCGCATCCTGGCTGTCAACGGCACCAGCCTCATCGGGGCAGACTACCAGAGGTGAGCCTCACCTCAGCAGAGGGCCTGGGGTGGCACCAGCACTGGAGGAGTTACTGTCAGCTCCAGGTTTCTGGCTGTTTTGCTCTGAGAGTTGCCAGCTCTGCAGTGCTGAAGGATGCTGCGGTACCAGCGAGCTGCAGGGAGAGGAGTGACCTGCACAGGACACGAGAGAGAGGGGAAGGCTGTGGGTTTGGAAGAGGGGATTATGGAGCAAAAACTGGGGAGCATAAATGGGAAATAAATGAGAGCTCCAGAGGTGGGTCTCAGCAATGCAGAGCTGCTGCAGCCCCATCCCACCCCAGGTTTCCTCTCAAAGGTGGTGGGATGAGACAGCTCAGAGGCAGAGCCCAGGTGCCCACAGCACAGAGCAGCTTTGGGCTTATTTGCCCTTGTCCTGGCACCACTAACCTGCAGGCCAAGCCCTCCACAAAGCTACAGGCAGGAGAGAAACAGCTCCTGCTTGTAACCCTGAGCAGGCACAGGTGATTGGCAAAGCGGGGTGTTTTGTGAATGCCTGTGACTTGGCAGGCTCCTGAGGGGCTGCCAGAACTCACCTCTGTCCCTGTTGCTGCTCCCTGCAGTGCCGTGGACCTCATCCGCTCCGGGGGGAAAAAGCTGCGGTTTCTGGTTGCCAAGTCGGACATTGAAATAGCCAAAAAGATCAGTTCCAGCTCCTCTTCCTCTTAGTCCTTGTGGTACAAGGATCCTGCAGCAGCTTGTGGCTACAGCTCTGGTTAAGGCTGACCTCAGGGAGCCTGGAGTGCAAGAGGGAGGACCAGGACTCCACAACAGCCCTCGATGTGCTTTTGGACACTTTGCCCTGCACTGCAGCAGATGCAAGGACATGCAAGGATGGTGCATGCTTCTCCCACTGCACTGCCTGGGAGCATCATTCCTGATCCATTGCCCAGCCTCACCTTATACCCAGTGTCATCCTTCTCAGGAGCTTTCCTATTTCTTTGTCCCCTCTGGCAGGGGCAGGGAAGGGAATGCTCCCACCATGAGGACTTGTAGGCAGGCTCCTCTGTTCCTCTAGGCTGGCAGCCCTGTGTGATATTTTATGCTGACAGGCAGAAGGCTTGAAAGACCTTTGGGTTTTGAAGAGAACACGTGAGGCAGACCTGGGTTTCACTGTGGCAGTGGCCACCTGAGGTGCTGGCACATCAGGCTGGAGAAGTGTGCCCAACTCTGGGGTGAAGGCAGCACAAGCACCCAGGAGTGGGATCCCACACAGGAGGAGTTAATCCCCTGGTGCCATACACTAGCTCAGGTGCCTTTTGCTGGGTACAGCCCTTCCTCAGGATGGGAAGCAGCTACAGCAAAGGGCTGACACCACCAGCAGTTCCTGAGTCCCAGGGACAGCTCCCTGCAGAGAAGGACCCCCTTGCTCTTGCTCTGCAGATTTACTGCCCAGCTCTGGCACCACGATCCTGGCTGAAGGCCACCAGGACTGATGGCAAAATGGTCCCACAGAGGATTGGTGCCACCAGGAAGCTGAGAGAGCCCAGCAGCACTCGGCAGTGCCACCAGCCCAGGCAGAGAAATGACAGCTCAGCACCACATCCTGCTCCAGCTTTGCCAGCCCATTGCAAGGCCACCCTGTTTTGTGCCCTGCTCGGAGCATCTCCCGGCTGTGTGCTGCTGAAATACCGACGGGTGATGATGGACAGCAGACTCCCTGCTGGGACAGGACACACGAATATCCCAGGAACTGCTCTGCTGCCGACCCCGCTGTCAGCTCAGCCGAGGGTTCAGCTCCATCGTGTGGCTGCCCGGGCCCCTGCACACCCGGCCTCCTGCCGCCGCGTCCTCCCTCCAATTTTAGCACCGTTAACGGGATAAACCCGACCTGATTTCCACATATAGACAGATACTGAGACCTAGTTTAGCCGAACCCTATTAAAACAGCCTGCAGCAAAGCCCTCCATCACACCCTGCACGGTCCAGGCTCTGGCAGGGGATCACATACTCACATGGCATCTCACAACAACAGTGCTCTGAGGATTGTGATGCTAAAAGAGGGCTGGCTTTAATTACACCTCACTGCTGCAGTTTTGGTTCCTGTGCTTAGTCTTGCACATCGCAGGAGTGAGATGTCAGAACACTCCATGCAAGGGAAATGCTCCACTACTGGATTTCAACGCTGCCTGGCCTGCTTTTCCAGGCAAGATGGACCAGGCACCTTCTCTGAGACACGAGTGCCTTGCTGCTCTGCTGGGCCACGCTCACAGCCCTGCCCTGGGGTGCTGCCCCAGCAGGGACTGGGAGCAGTGCATCCTCCTGCCACTGACTCAGCTCTACCAGGCAGGTGAACAAAGACTCAGGGCTCCTGGTGATTCACTTCACTTTCATTCAAGAAGGTATGCTGGCCTGTCATCCTCCACAGAACTTGAAATGGGCTGCCTAAAGCCTCTGGGCAAACTGCATGCACTCCTTACTCCCCTCTGCCCCTGAGCCAGGGCTTGGGGTGAGGCTTGGTTTGCATTAGACAGTGCTGGGGCTGCATGCTGGCACCTTCCAGCAGTACCAGCGCAACCCACTGAGCACCCCTGGAGCTGGAAAACAGCCCCAGAGCCGTGTGTCGCTCACAGTGCAGTCAGGTATTGAAACAGACTGTAAATAAACCCTGCTATTTACTAGTGTGCATGAGGGCTGGCTTCTCCCAGGAGGAGCAGGGGGATGGATTGACTTCCCTGTGTGTTAATATGTACAGCTGAGATGTGTATAAAGCTCTGGTGCAGATACTGAGCACAGCATGGCGCCTGTCGGACACGGTGGATGTTAAGAAATGCTCTGTGTCAACAATAAACTGGATCAATAAACCTCTCTAAGCCCTGCTCTGGCAGCTGTCTCTTGGATCTCTCAGTGTTCACTCCAGTGGTGAGACACGAGAGCAGATGTGATGGAGCCAGTCCTGCTTCCTCCAGCTCACACAGGCCTTTGCCTGATCTGCTGCAAAGAGAGGCAAGAGAAGCAGCATGTGCAGGTGTAGTGAGAGCAAAGGGGAGGGGAAACAAGTCAGAGGAAGGGAGGAAACAAGTACATCTCCAAAGGGACAGGGTGTGCTGGCAGGGTATTCATGCATCATTCACTCTCCTGCAACATTTGCACAAATCCACCAGGATTTTCAATACATACTCACCAGGAAGGAATAAGACAAGCTTAGGAGATAAAAAAGCAACTGGGACACAGAAATACAAACAGCCTTAGACCAGAAGAGCAGCCCCAGCTCTTCTTATTCCTGTTCTCTGTTTCACTCACAATCATTTGTTCCTCTTTTCCAGTTAAGATCAGGGCCTCAGCCTTGAGTGTTAGTAGTGTCCAGTGAGTTACTCCAGAAACCTCCTGCCCTCACACTGGCATGGAGCCTGGAGCAGGCTCCAGGAGCTGGGTGACCATCCTCAGGGCCAAAGGGAGGGAGTCGTTCACCTCCCTCTGAAACCGTGTGCTGGCCACAGGTGGGGTGAACACAAACTGAGCCACGCTGGGCATTTTCAGCAGGTTCATGAGCTCAGTTGCACGTATAAGGATCTCCTCAAGGTCTTCCTCGCAGTAAACAGAGGTGACAGCAGGGCTCTGCACAAATGTCCTCATCTTGGACAGAAACATGGACACTCTGCAGAAGAGAAGGACATGGGTATCAGCTGGCAGGACCTTTTCACCCAGCCAGATCACTACTTAGAGTGAGTAAACTCCAACAGACTAGTGCAGGTGACAGAGCATTAGTCAGCAGATGAATCCCACTCCTCCAAACTGTGCCCTTCCACAGCTCACCTCTGTCCTTTCTCAGTTGCCAGACTCAATTATTAATTAACACCAGCAAACCCACATTCAGACCCATGAGATCTGCACGTTTCAACGCTTTGCTGGCGCTCACCTGGGGATCAAGTCCTGGCTGCGTGCTGCCAGCTTGGTCAAGGTGGCCATGAGGACACTGATGGCACGGGGGGCACAGCTGGGGGTGCTGGCCTGTGGCCGGAGCTGGGTGATCTCAAAGAGCACAGCCTCGAGGGTCTCGAAGAACCGCGTGATCTGCTCCACTGTGCAGCGCTTGTCGTGGGACACCGACAGGAACTCGCCCACAGCCCACGCCTGGTGCCAGGCCAGAAGGGAGCACAGGGAAAGGGAACTGAATCATTTTTAGGGAACAGAAAATCAGGTGAGCTAATGCTAGGAGAGGGGAGCACAGTGCAGCTGGAGCAGCCTGTGGCAGCAGCAGCCCTGCTCACCATGTGGGTGAAGATGGCCTCCTTGCTCTGGATGTTGCTGACTGCTCCTGAGAACTCCAGGATCTCCGTGGCCAGTTCCACCACGAGCGCAGGGCGCAGCCCGCAGAGCATTGCCAGCTGTGGGCCCAGCACCCTGGAGCAGAGAGAAGGGCACAGCTCAGAGCAGGGCAAGGTGGTGATGCCCAAGGCCAGGAGGAGCTGGCAGCACCCAGCCACTGGCACAGGGCTGTATCATCAGGATGTTCCCAGCCAGGATGAAGGTGCAGGCCCCATTCTGCACCCTTCAAAGATATGTCACAGTGGGGACTGGGCCAAAACTGAAAAGGCTCCTGGGCTGCCAGGAGGAAGGGCTGGGAGCTGGGCTGTGCCTCCTGTCTCATCTCACCTGTACACATCCTCTTTAAATGCTGGGATGTCATAGAGCTGGTCACTCCTCTGCAGCAGCAGCACCACCAGCTGGTTTATCAGAGAGCCATCTGCAAACTGAAAGCCAGCCCTTGTTTCTGCAGTACCAGTGACATCCAGCAGCCAAACCCCAAAATAACCAGCCAGGTGAGACAGCTGGCAGAGAAACTGCCTGATCTAGGAGGGGAGCAGTGCACAAAGCAGGTATCAGGCACTCACTGTGCTCTCATCTCTCTCCTTTACAGCTGGCTGAGAGCACAGAATGAACCTGACACTGCTCCACAGAGCTTTTCTGTTTCTCTGGATCAAGTGGCCAGCTCAGTGCTGGTTCATGCCAGTACCAACACCACCCTCCTCTCGTGCACCCCTCTCTCAGAGGTGCAGCATCTTCCCAGTTTTGCTTCTACAACTGTTCTTCAAATAACAAGAGATCCCTGCAGCACAACTGGGAACTGAAATCCCCCAAAAGGACCTACCTCTGCCACCACCCTGAAAAAGAGCTCCAGTAAGACAGGGACAGTCTCTGCACACTGCACCACCCTTGGGCTGCCAGCCAGGGATGCCAGAAGCTGCCGAAGTGGAACCAGACTGTGGGCAAAAGAAGAGTTACTGTTGAAGGTTTGTTCCCAGTTGCCTTTCCCTATTCCCCAAAAGGCCTTTGAGCGCTGGCAAAGCTGACAGAGGGAAGAGAAATCCACCTCACGCCAGCTCAAAGCAGCTGTGCCTTTCCCAGTAATCCCAGTGCTGCCTCCCAGAGCTGGATGGCTGAATCACACTCCAGGGAGGCTCCTACCTGTCTGGAGCATCCTCGGGAGCAGACCTGGTGCGGAGGAGATACTGGAACATGCTCCTGTAGAGGGGATGGCGGAAGGCCTCCAGACACGTGGCTGGTTTCCCAGCTGGGTCAGCCCCAGCCTTCTCAGAGGCAGGAAGAGCTGCTGCCCTAGCAGGGAACACACAGAATGTGCTGCACTGTGAGAATGGGCCAGGGCAGAGCTGGGATCCTGAACACTGAACAGCAATCCAGGTCTAATCCAGGCTCTCTGGAAGGCAGAGAGCCAACCTGATGAGCTCAGCCCCCCATATTCAGGCAACAGTTCCAGACTTGCTTCTGTGTTATGCCTGGGAAAGGGAAAAATGGCACTCTGTATCCCTCAATCATCCAAGCCCACCAACATCTGCCTCCAGGATGACTCTCTTTTCTAAGCACTCCAGAAAGAGCTGTAATGTCAGGAGGACAAGGAACAGCAGAGAGCAGAGGTACAGCCAGTTCCAGTCCTACCCCATCTTCATGGAAACTCACAGCTCCTAAGATCTCAGGAAGAAAATTATGCGTGCCTCCAGGAGAACAAAGCCAAAACCAGGGCTAAGAGCAGAAAAGGAAGAATAGGATTTCACTTCTGTATTGAGATGGTAGCTTGTGCAAGCCTCAAACATGTGGCAATCATTTGGAGCTGGACAGGGAGAGAGGAATGGCAACAGCTCCCTGAGCCCCAAAGACAGTCCAGTACTGAAATGTGAGAGCTGGTCACCTTCTCTCTCATGTACGACACATTACTAAGAAAACTGGGCTGACATCTGTGCAGCCTTGTGTTAACCTGACTGCAGTGATGCCTCTTGCTCTGTGCCAGCTGAGGCTCACAAGTGTGCACTGGGCTTTGGTCAGTGTTAAGATGATGATTAACAAGTGAAAGGAAGGGAAGGTGCATTACCTCAGCTGGATGTCCAGAGCTGCTGTCAAACAGGGCAGGTCAAGCAGCAAATGGAAGATCTCAATGGCTGTGCCTGGATCCAGCAGAAATGGGAGAAGGTCCACAAACTCAGAGATCAGAGGTGGGCTGTTCCATGCCAGGAACTGCAAGGAACAAGCACAAACTGCTGCAGTATCCCTGCTACTCCATCACACGCCCAGACAACTCCACACTGTGACCAGATTGGATGGGGAAGGGAAAGTCACTTCTGAAACGCAAGACCAGTGAAGTCTGAGGGTTTGGTCAAAACCCAGGAGCCTGTTAGAAGCTCAACACAGGCCTCTGGCAGCTGGTTCAGTGGCTGGCAAGCTGCAACTTACTAAACTTTTCCAGAAACAAAGTGCTGTGTCCTGTGTTCACTGTGCTCCCCAGCCCTCTACAGTCCTGCCAACCCAGACTCTTCTCTCCTGGCAGTGCTGAACACACCCAGAACCCTCCTCCCCTTCAAACCCACACTTGTTTTGTAACAATCCTTCTTGCCTGTGCTCTCCCCAGCACTGCCACGAAGGCACATGGAGAGCTCTGCGGAGCAAAAATTAAGTTCTAGGGCACAGAAGGGGATGTGAAACAGTCTGTCCCCTCTGCTGCTCCAACATGTTGTACCTTGAAGAGATTTGGGAAGCTCTGCCTGAATATGCTGGAGGAGTCTGTGAAGAGCTGGCTGTTGTCTTTGCAGAACTGGACAAATTCAAAGGCCAGTGATGGGTTGTGGAAGAGCTGAGCTGGGATATCAGTGAAGAGGTGTTTGTAGATGGCATCTGAGTCCACAGCTGCCAGTTTGCCTGGGAGGACACAGCACCTTGCTGAGCACAGCCCAGCCAGCAGCCCTGCCAGGGCTCCAGGGGCTAAGAGAGATCTAGGTTATGTTCCTCTAAAGAGCAGGGGACATCCCAGCTCCTGGGGTGGGATCATCCATACCAGAGCACAGGCAAGGTGGAATTACCAACTCTGACAGGCAGCAAACTGCCAGGACAAAAGGCTGTGCTGGAATAGGCAAATCTGGATCGTGGAGGAGGGGGTGGGAGCTGAAGACTTACTGTGGTTCAGGAAGAACTGGGCAATGGGCAGCAGTGCCCTGGCATAAGCGGCATCCCCACAGATCCTGCTGTGCAGGATTTTCAGGAAGGAGACAGCACGGCACACGTAGGAGGAGTCCTGTTTGCAGATGATGTCCATGATTGTCACTGCCTCAATGAGACACTGCAGGAAAGCAGAGATGAAGATTGGAATGGGGGAAACCACAACTCCCAGAGCTTGAGCCCCACCTCTGTGTACTTACAGCTTTTTGCAGGTCTCCATCATCTTTCTTCAGGGGTCCTGCCAGAGAAATGAGTCCAAGTTAAGCTTTGAGCCCCACAAGAATATGAGGCTGTCAGTTTGAACACTAACCCTGGTTTCAGGGCAGGCAGGAACACACACTGATCCTAAATTCAGGCCAACAAGAACCAAGTTTCACAGCCTCCCCTGCAAACCAAGGAGGCAGAACATGACTGCTGCCTCCAAATCCTTCCCAACACCCCAGCTCAGGGCTGACCAACGACTTGCCCCAGCAGCTGCAGCAGGCCCTATCCCTAGCAGCCTAACAGTGGATTCTGGGGAGTGAGATCCCAGCCCAAACATGCAGAAATATTCTGGAGAACACTCCCAAGAGGACTGCCAGGAGGGCTCATGGCAGACTCACGGCGGTTGCTCTGCTCCACGAGGCGCTGGCAGTACTCGAAGGCTTTGTCCCGCAGGCGCTCCCTGGGCGGAAGCTGCCGGCCAGCCGTGGCTGGAGCAGGGACCGCGGGTGTCACAGACCTGTCCCCTCCTGCTTTGTCACCTACACAGTGAACATCACACGTGTCAGCTCGTCACAGGCCATGGCACCCACGCAGCAGCTCAGCTATAGAAAGGCAGCTGACTGTCCCCAGGTGCAGAGTGAAGAACAGGAAGCTGAAGGAGATGGGAATGTTACAAGAATATTAAGGAGATGCTGTCTCTCATCACCCAGGCTTTCTTTCCCAGGAATCCATCGGGCTTTGTTTAAAAACAGGAGACTCACCCAACAAGTAATTTCCCAAGGAAGGATCAAAAAGTATCAGTCAGGAGGTTTAGTGATATTCCTTCCCAAACTTTCCCTGCTCCTAGTCCAAGATCTCTGAACTCTTGCCCATATTCCTGCCACTTAGAATGAGAAGATGGAAGGGACTTAAAGCTCATCCAGTTCCAAAGCCCCTGCTATGGGCAGGGACACCTTCCACTACCCCAAGTTGCTTCAAGCCTTGTCCAATCCAGCCTTGAGCACTTCCAGGGATAGGGCAGCCAACACTTCTCTGGGCACCCCTGTCAGGACCTCCCCACCCTGACAGGGAATAATTTCTTCCTAATATCTAATCAGTTTGAAAGAGAGGAGATTGCTGGGTTGCTGGTGCAGCCACCTCATATGACATCTGAGAGCACACAGCCCTCCTGGGGCTGCAGACCACAGTGACCTGCAGATCTTCAACCCCTACCTGGATTAAGGGTGTCCAGCTCCTTGCCCCCATAGCACAGCAGCCAGTTTCTCAGCATGGAGAAAGCCTGCACGTTGAGCCACTGGTCCTGTGTGTAGTGCTGAGCCACTGAGAGCACTGTGAAGAAGTCTGTGGCAACAGCACCATCCACCTCTGTGATAGGAGCAGGCTGAGAGAGAAGATGCAGCAGGTCAGAGCCCCAGGAAAAGGTTAAGTGAGAGGGCAGGGAAAACCCCAGTGAGCCCATGGAGACAAGCAGCCCCTGTTTGGGGTCCTGCAGGAGGGCAGGTAGGCAGAGAGAGAAAAGCCAGCTGTGCTGGATCCTTCTCCCCAGCTGAAACACTCAGCTTTGCTACTTTGACACTGGTCTCATTTGCAATCACCTTCAACTCCGAAGTGCACGGTCACTAAAAGACTCTTCTCTAAAAACTGCTTCAAGGATCAAAGCTCTGGGTCTACAGTTGAACTCCTAAATCTCAGAGCTGTAAATCCCCCTTACTTTGCTTTCCTATGTGTCTCAACCACATATCCCACAAAAAATTCTGATGAGCAGCAGCTTTTCTAGGCTACTGTTTTCCAAAAGAAGGTAATTCTGGGAACCCAAACCAGCAGGTAACAGACTAACAAATGCTCTTGTGAGGCCACCATGGCAACTCAGCACTCACCTGTTTGGTTCTGGGACTGGAGAAGAAGCCTCCAGAAGGCTGAGCCATTCCTTGCTGAATGCTTGCATACCTCAGCCAGTCAGCCAGCTTTTTACTGACAACATTGGTCTGTTCTGTACAAGGGAAGTGACAAGGTCATTGCTAGACTGGGCAGAGAAGCAGCCTCTGCAGCATGTCCCTGTTAACCCTCAATTGCTGTGCTTTTTCTCCAGCCTGGATCACTCTCTGACCCAGCAATCCATAATGAAACTGGTACCCAAGGAGGATTTCTATACACCCCTCATACCACCTCAGCCAGGGAGTGAGTGCTGGAGCCAAGAACTCTGCTACCAGAGCACCCAAGAGATACTTGTTCCTTTGTCTCCATCCACAGCTGCTGTTAGGAGGAATGTACAAACACACTGTCACATTATTCAGGCAGTGTCTGGCTTCAGCTCTGCAGCCAAAGGCACAACTCCCTCACTGGGAACTCACAGAAGCTGGGGCAGGTGATCCTTCTGCTCTGCCAGCCCATGCACCCAGCCCAACATTCTCCCCAAAGCTTCTATGGCACACTGCACAAAGTACACAAACCTCACAGGAAACTCCCAGAAACTCTTGCTCACAACCCCCCAGCATTTTAAGCCTGGAATGCTCTCCGAGGTTAACCCACCACTACCCACCCAGTGCTGCCTCTCTGATGAAGAGCACCTCTAGTTGTTCCTGCTGCTCTCTTGACCACATGCACAGGCACATCTCTGTTTCTCTTTCTTGGCTTGATGCTCTTCAGGATAGCTACAGTTTCACACTCCTGCTGCATCTGGAGACCTCAGCTGGAGCACATGCTCCTGTTATACAAATCCATGGCCAGGATTTGACTGAAGGCCCAGTCCCAGTTCTGTGTGGTGGAATACATCTCACCCAGTAAGTTCCCTTTCCTCGTAGCAGGGATGTCACTTTGGACAGCAGTTTCCAACTGAGAGCCTCCTGATCACTACCCAGACCACGGCCAGGTGGCAATCTCAGCCCTTCCTACAGATTTACCTTCTGTTAGAGATTCTGGGGAAAGGCTGATGACATTTGCCAGGACAGGAAGAAGGAACCGAGCACTATGACCCTCAGGCAGCCTTCTTTCAAGGGCCTGCACAACATGCTGCCCCACAGCTGCCACCTCACCCTTATTTCCCTGAAAAATAAAGCATAGGTAAAGATAAATAATCTACCATTACTAGAGACCAATCTCCTCCAGCAGGCATCAATACCGAAGTCAAACACAAAAAGAACTCACAGCACAGGGGGTTTTACCAAATTTACAGAGATTTTCAGCGATTTGAATTCACAGATCCCAAACTGTGGGGCTGCTTAGGTGTGTTTTTACACTGCGGAACTGCAGGACAGTCTCCAGGCTGGATATGGGAGAGAGGAGCTTTGTGAGGCAGCACAGAAGTAACACATTGCTGGTTTGTTTCATTTCCTTTAGTTAAGCAGACTCAGATGAATGTCAGAAACATTGGAGACATTTCTAAGCACACAGTGAAACTCAGAACAAGAAGTTTCACAAAAACATTTTACCTTTAACAGGCACAATACAAGTAAAAGGAGAGGAAAGAGAGAAGTCTGCAGCTTGTTCCCCAGGCAGCACCCAAAACAAGGAGATCCTCATGTTTGCTTCCCTCCATGGAGAATCAGGACCTTTGAAGTGTCATTTGCATTTACAGTTTTACATGTTTTGTAGGTTCTGTGTAAGTTTTTTATACATGAACATGAAAAACAATATCATAAGAACAATAAGAAGAGTATCTAAAATCTTTTGCTCTCCTGCCCAGGTTCAAGCAGCCCTGATTTGAAATCTATTCCAGCAGCCAGCTCTAAAGGGTTCTTTCTTGCTTCCTGGACCTCTGTGTCTAAACATTACAATTTTAAGCATTTTTTTATTGTTAAGTGCTGTACACAAAAATTTGCCTTTTTTTTTTTTCCCATGCAGAGCAGAATAAGGAGATCCATTAAATAAGGAGATCCATTAAATAAACATTGAAATACCTCTGCTTTATCCTACATACTTGCAATTGATTGTCACTCTCCTTGAGCTCAGGGAGGAGCTCAGGAGCAGGGAACAATCAAAAAGCAAATTCATATTGACAAGGGAAGGTCTCTGCCTTGACAGGTCATTTACCTGAGCCAGAAGGACGGAGGATACCAGGCTCAAGAGCTTCGTATCTTGAATCTCATCACAGGAGAGGATAAGATCGTTGCAAGGTGACATCTCTCTCAGGATGGCAGCACATAACACCTGAATCTGCTCAGGACTTTTGGGTGAGCACAGCACTGTCTGCAACAGCTCCACAAACTTGCCATCGAGCCTGCAAGAGTCACAGTACACATCACTGCAAGGCAAGAAAAGATCCAGGTGTTTATTTCCTGCATATTTTTGGCTTTGGGATGATCCCCCTTGACAGTGACTCAGTGCCATCATCACCTTCATTTCTGAGTGCACTTCGGCAGAGGGCTCAGCGACACCAACTCTTGTTAATCTCGCTGCAAAAGCAGATGGGCACTTCTGCTCAGCAAGGGGGTGAAAAGCAAAGAGGGGCTTTGCGTTCAAACTGAACTGAGGGTTTTCAAGGCAGCGTGTTATTTTAAAGCCCTAACCCCACGCCCTTCCTTTCGTTTTGGTTAGGAAGGCAACGCTTTGCATCTTCCAACACCCGGCACGCACAGGGGCACTCACCTGCGGGGGTACTTGGTGGCGGCCACCGTGAGGTGCAGCCTCTGCAGCCCATCCGCGGCCTCGGGGCTCGCCTCGGGGCCCTGCAGCAGGGCGGACACGCGGGCGGCGAATCTCCGCAGCTCCTCCTCCTGGATCTCCCTGCCGGGGCAGTCGGGGCTGTCAGGAGCCCGGGCCCCCGCGCCGGGCCCTCTGGGGAAGCTCCGGCCTGCAGGCTCGGTACACACCGCCCTGCCCGCCGCCCGGCTCCCCGCTCAGCCCCCGCCAGCACTCCCGCCCGGCCCGAGGCGTCCGTGGCGCTGTCCCTGTCCCCCTGTCCCACCTCGCCTGCCTGAGGAAGCTCTCGGCAGCCGCCGTGAACATCCCGGCCCCGCCGCCGCCCGGGCCCGCCACGGTACGCGGCCAAAGCCGCCCCCCATGGGCGGGCGGTACGCCGCGCCGGCTCCGGAGGGACGCGGCGGCTGCTGCACGAAGGTTCCGCCCGGCGGGAAGGGCTCGCAGAGGCGCGGGGTGACCAAAATCCTCGCTGGTGGCTGCAAAAGGACTGTCCGAGCTGCTGCTGTTATTGTCCCCCATTCAGGAGCCTAAGGACAAGCTCACCCTGCCCTAGGCACTCAGACCTATGGAGAACATCGTTACACGGCAGAGATGAGAGGTGGGGCTTCTGCAGGAGTGATGGTAAAAGACAATAAATGTATCAGCCTTTCCTGCAACTTGTTCATAAAACAGAGCTTTCCAAAACAGGCACGAGGTGTTAAACCAGCTGCTCAGGTCTGCAGCACTCCCAGAAGTTCAAAATCCATCAGGACCTTCTCTCCTGACTAACACAGCTGGAGCTCTCAGCACCAGGCTGAGCATTGCCCTGCAAGGAGGAGATGCCAGGGGATGGGATTTGGCACTTTGCCTTTGGTAATTCCCTCCCTGTGCTCTCCTGGCATTAGAGTTCATTAGCACCATGCCTGGGCAATCAGCCAGCAGAGCAGCAGCACGTGGGGAGCCAAAAACAGGATAATTTTAAAAGACACCCCCCCAGAAAGGGGTCTGCATCAATGCATTTGCTCACTGTGTACTGTGTTATTAATTTTTTAATTAGTCAATTAAAAAAAAACAACCCTCCCTGTAGTAACTGAAGGGAGATGACAAGAAAGAGAGAAACTTTTTACAAGGGCATGGAGTGACAAGGGGGAATGACTTCAGATTGAGAGGGCAGAGTTAGATGGGATATGGGGGAGAAAATTCTTCCCTGTGAGGGTGGGCAGGCCCTGGCACAGGGTGCCCAGAGAAGCTGTGGCTGCCCCTGGACCCCTGGAAGTGTCCAAGACAGGCTGGACAGAGCTTGGAGCCAGCTGGGATAGTGGAAGGTGCCCCTGTTCATGGCAAGGATTGGAACGAGGTGATTTTTAATGTTCTTTCCAACCCAAACCATTCCGTGGTTCTAGGAATACAGCAACTTTATGTCAATTGAGGCCCTAAAAGATATTACTATTTAATTCTGGAGATAAGAATGTTTAGTCAAAATAAACCCAGAACTTAAATTGTAGCTGCATTAGGAAGAAAAAGGAACCTAACTACAAGACAGATAAAGTATTGTTTTCTGATCTCACAGGCTTCAATGAAAACAATTATTATAAATTACAGGGGAACACACTGGAATAGTTTAACTATCAAAATAACAATGCCTCACTTCATGACAAAACAAAAGCTGGAGCTGGAGAATCCTTTATAAGCCCCAGGGGAAGCATCACAGATCTCACACACACAAGTCCATATGTTCACTCTGCTGCGAGCCTGCAGCTGCCCAAATAACTGACAAGGGATCAGGAGTGGGGTGTCTGAACTCCCAACAGTGCAAGGTGTGCACACACACACTTCCTTCCTACAGGAAATAAAAGGAAAAAAATATTAAACACAGGGTCCCCTCACTGCTGCAGGAAACTCAACCCCCCTGTGATGTTACACTGGAAGGATCCAAATCTGGCACCCAAAAACACCAAAGCAATTTCAGGGCATTTTCTCTTTCATATATAATTTTATTTCTGGTTATAGAAACAAATGCTAAGAGGAGAAGCAACATTCCCCAACCACATACATCAAATTAAGGTAACAGAACAGTTAAAATAAATGAAAAAAAAAAGTAGAAATTTAAACCTTTGTTATAGCTTGAAAATATTAACGTTCTCGATACATTAGAAATCACATTCAGATCTCAAATTACTTAAAAAATGTATGGCTCTATATTAAAAAAAACAAACAAACAAAACCACTGTATCCCATCTGAAGTGGAAACACAGGTCCTGCTGTGGGATGCAGGATCCCACACCCTGCTGGGAGCCAGGGCTGCCTTGAGCATCTCACAGGAGCAGCTGGCCAGGAAAGAACATGAACTTCACATCCACTGCCCCCCATGGAGCCTCCCCCTTGGGATACACACTTGCTTTTTAAAAAGCACTGATAACAAAAACAAGTCACAAAAAAACTCCCAAAACAACTTCTGATATCAGCTGTAAAAAAAAAAACACCCAAAAAACAACCCACAAACCCCAAAACATCTGGCTGGAGGTGTCTTGCACAGGCATCACCAGGAACTGAAATGCAAGCATGGCTTTAGTTTCCCCTTTCCACCACCTTCTTATTTTATAAAATAAGTGCCAAACCGAGGTGAAGGGGGTGAGGCTGGCTCAGATCTCTGTAGCAAACCCTTCTGTGAAGCCATTGAGGTATTACAGGTTCCTCTCAGCCTTCCCCAGGGACTCAGTGGGAATGAGCATCTGCAGAACAGGGGGGAGTTGGATTTTTCTGATTTTTTTTTTTTAATCAGAGCAATTATTCAGAGTTGGATCTGAATTTCCAGCTTTACCATCCGTTGCTCACACACAGCTTTTGATTTATCCCTAAACAGCTTTTAACAGTCCTTTGGATAACAGTCCTTTGGATAGCTACAGACTCTTAAAATGCTCTTTTTGGCTACGTGGAGGTTGGCTGGCAGGCTGGGCAAGGCCAGCCTCCTCAGCACAAACAGCATGTCAGAACCCAACACAACATATGGTCTTTTAAGATTTTCATATTTTAAAGCCATTTTCTGTATCACTATATTTGAATGAGTTTGGAAACGCTTTTGTGTTTTTTTTTTTGTTTTCTTTTTTTTTTTTTTTTTTTACATTCTGTTTTCTATTAAAGCAAAAAGATCTTACAAACAATACTCTGGTTCCCTCTACTTCAAGCCCATTTGAGGGAGAAAAAAAAAAAGAGAGATTAAGCAAGTTTAGGTTTACAGTAATTCAATTGCTACAGAGCCAACTTAGCAGCCTGCCCACCTCCCAAGAGCAGCATATAAATCAGCAGAACATCAGGATGTTCTGCAGCAGACTTTTAGCAGCAAGACAGTGAAACAGAAGGAATTCTCACTTTTTCTGCTCCATTTAAATCTCAATTTTCTTCAGCTACCAGACATTTCTCCTCACTGTTGCCCTTAGCTTTAAGGAAGGCTCTGTCTCAGACTGCTTTAAGTGAAACTGGGGTGGGGTAGGAGCAGGACAGAGAGGTCCAGATCACAGCAGAGCTTGGCAGCAGACACGAGGCAACAACCAAATATTAGGGGAAGTCTGGGTTCCACAGGGGCTGTTTTCTGCTGGATGAGGAGGAAAGCTGCTTCCTTTCACTGCTCCTATTCTGGTCACTCTTCCCACCACCAACCCTGTCCTCCCTGAAGTACTGCAGCCCCATCCCCAGGCAGGGATTGCTGAGGTGAAGCTTTCACTCAGATCCTCATAGAGAATTTCTGCTCCTGGAAGAGCAATGAGGATTAGGAAGTCAAGTATCACTTGATTTATTCTCAAAAGATCCAAGTGGTTCAAAATACACCCTTCTGTGAATTTAGTGATCCCTGTGGAATTAAATCACACCTGAACTTTGGCCAGTTCACCAAAATTTACTCCCTGTGAATGGAAACATTAGAAAAACTCTGTGCTTGTTTTTAAAGGGATATAGACACAGCTTACCCCAAAAAGAGACAGAAGCATGACAAAAGGAAAATAATCTCACCACAGACAAAAAGAAACTATTTCCTAGTGCCCCAGTGTTAGCTTAGCCACCTGACAGAGAGGAATTCCTCCTCGTGGACCCCCCATAAATCTCCTCTGTTAGAAATAAGGTCCCATTACTTACAGAGCAGAACTGTAAAGAACTCCCTGCTACTGCATCTAGAGAGAACTGCAGACAAGAAAGGGTTCCAGCTTTCATTAGTGCCATTTGGGGGGGTTCTTGCCAGAAAAGCAGTGTGGACTGGGGTTGCTGCAAGCAGGACAAAGCCAGAAGCAGGGATCCTGCAAGGAAGATGCAAGTACCAAGTTGCCTCTTCTGCTCTGCGAGAGGAATGAAAGCAATCACTGAAGTAAAGCTGCTTCCACTGGCTGCTCACATTCGTTACAAAAATAGGTTAATCGTTCTTTCAGAGTCAGTGCCTGGTGCAGGAATTACCAACACACTGTATAAAAGTCTGTGTAAGTACCATTCAAGAGAAAGAAATAGTCATGGACCATTTATATATCTATATCGACACACACGCTCACACACTCACACATTAATAAATATAAATTTCATGTTTACACAGATCTAATTTAATATTCTCTGAAAAAAAAATATTTAAAGGGTTTCTTCCTTAGCTGCCACCCATGAATTGTCAATGGTTTTTTTCTGTCTTGAGAGCAAAGGAGTAGATTTGGCACAACTACCCTTGTACTCTGAAACTTAAAGTGACACATAAGGAGAGGACCAACCATACATTCTGAAAGGTTTTAATTCAGTGTTGGTAAATTGAAAAGGTATCAAAAGAATTTTCCAAACATATAAATACAAACGTCACAAATTGATTCAAAATTTGGAATTTAAATATAGTGCTCCAAGAAAACCAAGTATTTTTCAAAATGTCTTGCTCAGGCCAAAGTAAAATGCTCCCTGGTGTATTATTGCCCCATGAAAGACACCCTAACAGAGAAAGCCCACCTGACAGCTACAGAATTCCCACTTATGGCAGGGAATACACCCACACCTCTATGCACAAACATGTGCACTGACCTGCAAACAACCCACCCAGCAGGGAGAGATGCTGATCTAACAAATCCCAGCCCAAGAGCTGCCTGGCAGCCCAGAGAGAGATTCCCCAGCCATGTTTTGATCAGGTGCAGATCAAGATGCAAGAAGGCATCAGCTAGAGCAATCCAGATGACCTTGTAGTGTAACTGTTCTGCAGCACAGCTGCTCCCGTGGAAGCTACACTTTCCAGCAGTAGTGTATGCTATAGTAGCAGCAGCTTGGGCATCATTTTTCACCCAGAAGGACACAGAAAGTTCTACAACAGATTGTTTACTCATGTAACTGCAACCTAACACAAGAATCCTCGCCAGATGCAGACCTTCCAGCAATGG